CATACCCAGGTGAGTGAGAGAGCTTACTCCATAGAGAGAGAAGAGAAATCTGCTTCAGATACGAAAATCATTATGTGAAGGATGAAAATCTGCTTCTGGTAATCAATCGACACTCCTCCAAACTTCCACCGAACTCCAATGGTGATGGGGATCGATTTAGGGCACTTGGAAGTTCTGTTCGTCACTCTCTCTCTCTATATTTTCTGCTTTCTTTCTCTAAAAATCGGATCCCTCTCAAAAGAGGCTCATCTTTGCTTAAGAAGGGAGCAGATCGCGATACCCGGCCTAAATACCCGGTCGGGTATTTTGAAACGCAGCGCAGCGGAAAAGGGGAAATACCCGATCGAGGTCAAGAATACTCGATCGGGTATTTAAGTGCCCCGGTCGGGCCCCCTTCGGGTCTCCTGACCTCCAAAGCAGCAATACCCGGTCCTTCCTTCTCGTTTACCCGGTCGGGTATTTTAGTGCCTGACCGGGTATTTTTGCCTAACTGCTCCTCTAGCTCCAACTTTCCACTTTTCGACCCGGAACTCGTTTCCACGCCTCCTTATCCACGCCAAGTCCTGAAATATGATATAAATGAAGAACCTAGCATGAAATCGGCCTAAAACACGAGAATCAACTCTCAAACGGTTCAAGAATGGTGATTAAAACATGTGCAAATAATGGTCTATCATATATCGAGGAGATTACAAATTACAGAGGAGATGAGAAGTATTTATACTTCTCCATGTGGGTCTAAATCTAATCCAATCTTGCAAAGGAAACGGTTACAGACCAGACCCAGAAACCCAAACCCAAATAACATTGAGCCCATACACCGTGGGCTGGACCCCCACCGGGGCGTTGCCCCTAGACCCCACTAGCTGACCGGGCAGCGAGACCCCTGACTATTCCAGTCGTAGCGGCTTATAGTCCGATTTCTCTGAAATCTCTCATGTACTCTCCTCCTTCTCTCTCTCTCCCGCCATCAATGCCCTGTAGGGCGGAGTCACCCACTCAAGACATTCAGCAAGTCCAAGCAGTGTTGGAACCTGCTATGTGGAACCGGCTTCGTGAACATATCAGCAGGATTATCCGCGGTGCCAAACTTCTTCACCTTAATCCTCTTCTCTATCCTCAATAAATGATACCTCATGTCGATGGGCTTAGTCCTCTCATGGTGGACTTGATCCTTGGCCAAGCATTTTGCACTCAAACTGTCGCAATACACTACTGCCTGATCATGATGTAGACCCAGATCACCAACCAGTCCCTTCAACCATATTCCCTTCTTAGCAGCTTCTGTAAACGCAATATACTCTGCCTCAGTAGTAGACATTGTCACCGCCGACTACAAAGTTGCCTTCCAACTCACTACAGAAATCCCAAGAGTGAATACATAACCGGTCATCGATCTCTTCGTGTCAACATCTCCAGCATAGTCCGAGTCAGCTTACAAACATAGTCTTCTTTTCCTGGAACCTGGAATCCTTCTAGCTGAGTCATGTAAATTTCTTCCTCCAACTCTCCATGTAAGAAAGTTGTCTTCACGTCTAGTTGCTCCAGCTCCAAGTCACAATGTTCCACTATTGCTAGTATCACCCTAATCGAAGTATGTCTGACCACTAGTGAGAAAATCTCATTGTAGTCAACTCCTTCCCTCTACGAGAAGCCTCGTGCAACCACCCGAGCTTTAAATTTAACGCCCTCTTCAGAAGTGATTCATTCCTTCTTCTTGTAGATCCACTTGTTTGTAACAATCTTCCTTCCCTGTGGTCGTTTGACTAGCTCCCAAGTCTGATTCCTGTCATGGGATTCCATCTCATCTCCCATTGCGGCAAGCCACTGATCAGCTTCGCCACCCGAAACGACTTCTCTATAGGAGTGTGGTTCACCTACATCCACTTCTTCAGCAACCTGAAATGAATACGCCACCATGTTCTCGAAGCCATACCTCTGTGGAGGTACTCCTGCATTCGCTCTCTTCGGTCTATCGGAAGCTATAGACTACTGAGCTCCTGCACTAGACTCTGAAGTTTCTGGCTCTGCAGAAACATGCTCATGCTGATCTTCTCCACCTTGGTGCTCAAACTCACTCTCGTTGAGAGTTTGTAGCTCCACCTGCTTATCAACATTCCTGCTAGCTTCAACAATAGTAACCTTCAACATGGGGTTAAACATATACTTCTCATCAAATATCACATTTCTACTAAGTATAACTCGATGCTCAGAAGGTGACCAGACTCAAAATCCCTTAACTCCATCTTCGTAATCCATAAATACATTCTTCTTTGCCCTTGGGTTCAGTTTACCCTCATTCACATGATAATAAACAGGACACCCAAAAACTTTCAGTGAAGAGTAATCAACGGGCTTAACATACCACACTTCATAAGGAGTCTTAAACTCGATACCTGTGTGAGGTCCACGATTGATCAAGAAGCACGCCATGTTTACTGCTTTTGCCCAGAATCTTCTCTCTAGTCTAGCATTAGAGAGCATGCACTGTGCTCTCTCCAACAATGTCTGGTTCATCCTTTCTGCAATGCCATTTTGATGGGGAGTATCTCTAACGGTCCGATGACGGGCAATGCCTTCATCTTTGCAGAATTCTTTGAACTCAGAACTGCAAAACTCCAGACCATTGTCCGTTCGCAGCTTCTTAATCTTCTTCCCGGTCTGATTCTCCACCAATGTCTTCCACTGCTTGAACTTCGCGAAAGCCTCACCTTTCTGCTTCATCATGAAAATCCAAGTAAATCTCGAATAATCAATAATAATAGACAGAAAATACCTGCTGCCTCCAATGGATTCAACTCGTGAAGGACCCCAACAGTCGGAGTGGAGGTAATTCAGTATCCCCTTTGTCCGGTGGATACCCTTCTTGAGAAACTTGTTGCGATGTAGCTTCCCAAACACACAATGCTCACAAAATTCCAAATTCTGCACCTTGTGCCCGCAAAGAAGATCTCTCTTCGACAGAACTTGCATCCCCCATTCACTCATATGCCCCATCATCATGTGCTAGAGAGTAGGGGTGGGCATTCGATTGGTTCGGTTTCGACCGAACCGAAATTATGAATACCGGGTCCCCGAATTCTCCCAAATCTCAAACCAAATTCGAACCGAATTATAATTCAATTCGGTTGGTTTAAACCAAATTATAATTCGGTTCGGTTTTTCACACAAAACCGAATTTGTGAAGATACTTGTATTTTCTCACTTTTAAATTATTTTTGACCCCTAATATAAACAATAAATATCAATTATATGCATCATCAATGATAAAACCAAACTTCTCAACACATAAGTCATAAAACATTTAAATATTTAAGTATAAAAACAACTACAAACATAAAAATCCACCATTTGGAGCTTGCAATTATAGTATTTCGGTTTTTCGGTCGGAAATTCGGTTCGGTTGAAAGAATCCTGATTTCCGAACTATCCATATTTTCCTTCCGAATTCCGAACCGAATAGCATTAATTCGGTTTCGGTTCGGTTCGGGTTTACCGAACCATTTGCCCACCCCTACTAGAGAGTGGTCATATCTTCCTGATGAACCTGAGATGATGCAACTGCTGCAGAACCTGACAACAAATTTCCTTGTAATGCATACAAGGTACCAAGTTTCATGCCTTTCATAACATTTCTCGAACCCTTGTAGACATACACAACTCCACCTTTTCCTTTGAAACTGAAGCCCTTGTTGTCGAGTAGACTCAAGGAGATCAGGTTCTTTGTCACTCGTGGAACATGTCTGACATCATTCACGGTACATAATGAACCATCATGTGTCCGAACCTTCATGGACCTAATTCCAACAACCTTGCAGACCGCTCCATTTGCCATTCCATTAGAATAGTTGTACTTCCAATGCCCCACTTCCTTACAGTTGTGACAGCCATCGCTTGGTTGTGGTCCGGGACACTTAGATTTCCCTTTACCAGATTTCTTCTTTCCCTTCCCACCTGTTATAGCCAACCCTGATGCTTCACCACCTGTACCAAATTCGGACGCCTTATGTCTGATCTCCCTCGTGTGAAGAGCATATCTGACATCCTCCAACGACAAGCTATCTTTACCAGCAATAAAAGAATCCACAAAATTCTCATATAAACTCGACAAAGACACAAGCAGGATTAGGGCAGCATCTTCATCATCAACTTTCACATCTATATTGCGTAAATCTAACAAAATAGAGTTAAGTTGCTCCAGATGTTCCCTCAAAGGCGTACCTTCTTGCATCCTCAACCTGAACAACCGTTGCTTGAGATGAAGCTTGTTGGTTAGAGACTTAGTCATGTATAGACTCTCTAGTTTTAACCACAAGCCCGCGACAGTCTTTTCAGCAGCGACTTCAATGATGACGTCATCAGACAAAGATAACATGATGGTCGAGTGGGCCTTCTCCTCTAGGGTATTCCACTCATCGTCATCGACCGCTGCCTTCTTCTATTTCGCAGAGAGCGGCCCCCACAGCCCTTGCTGTTTAAATAAAGCCTGCATCTTGATTTGCCATATAGCGAAGTTGTTCTTCCCCGTGAACTTCTCGATCTTCATGTTCACCGATGTCATTCTTCAGAATCGAAACCCTAGCCTGATTTCCAGTAGCGGCTCCTTTACCACTTGTTATAAACGCGCTGCTACGAATCAGGAAATCACCGGAATCGAGAAAGCAAAAATAAGAAAACGAGAATCGAAAATACGACACACGATTTACGTGGTTCACTAGCACGATTTGTGTTAGCTAGTCAACGGGCGAGAGAGCCAGTTTCACTATATCGAGGAGATTACAGATTGCAAAGGAGATGAGAAGTATTTATACTTCTCCATGTGGGTCTAAACCTAATCCAATATGGCAAAGGAAACGGTTACAGACCAGGCCCAGAGACCGAACCCAAATAACATTGAGCTCATACACCGCGGGCCGCACCCGCACCGGGGCGTTGCCCCTGGACCCCACTCACTGACCGGGCAGCGAAACCTCCGACTATTCCAGTCGTAGCAGCTGATAGTCTGATTCAAGTCACATCAACAGTCTGAATCATATCATATCAAATCCACGTTTGGATAAGATCATACCGAACAAAATACGATGTGATCTGGTCTTTGTACCTTTGTATTTTATAAATATTTAAGAAAAGAGATCGAATTGATTTTTGGACTAGATAAAATCAGACTGAATACAATGATAATTTGATCCTTAATCCTAAGATTTCGTTTATTGTTGGACGAGGCTCCCGTCCTATCAGTTTGATCTTGTTCGAACTGAATAGTTGCACTCTGACCATATCACTCTTCACTTTCGAATTCCGATGACTCTGGCTTCTACATGGGCTAACGATTTGTAAGTAACTGATTGGAACAACAGTATACGAGCCCAAGAGAAAGCCCATTCCATTAGAATAGTTGTACTTCCAATGCCCCACTTCCTTACAGTTGTGACAGCCATCGCTTGGTTGTGGTCCGGGACACTTAGATTTCCCTTTACCAGATTTCTTCTTTCCCTTCCCACCTGTTATAGCCAACCCTGATGCTTCACCACCTGTACCAAATTCGGACGCCTTATGTCTGATCTCCCTCGTGTGAAGAGCATATCTGACATCCTCCAACGACAAGCTATCTTTACCAGCAATAAAAGAATCCACAAAATTCTCATATAAACTCGACAAAGACACAAGCAGGATTAGGGCAGCATCTTCATCATCAACTTTCACATCTATATTGCGTAAATCTAACAAAATAGAGTTAAGTTGCTCCAGATGTTCCCTCAAAGGCGTACCTTCTTGCATCCTCAACCTGAACAACCGTTGCTTGAGATGCAGCTTGTTGGTTAGATACTTAGTCATGTATAGACTCTCTAGTTTTAACCACAAGCCCGCGATAGTCTTTTCAGCAGCGACTTCAATGATGACGTCATCAGACAAAGATAACATGATGGTCGAGTGGGCCTTCTCCTCTAGGGTATTCCACTCATCGTCATCGACCGCTGCCTTCTTCTATTTCGCAGAGAGCGGCCCCCACAGCCCTTGCTGTTTAAATAAAGCCTGCATCTTGATTTGCCATATAGCGAAGTTGTTCTTCCCCGTGAACTTCTCGATCTTCATGTTCACCGATGTCATTCTTCAGAATCGAAACCCTAGCCTGATTTCCAGTAGCGGCTCTGTTACCACTTGTTATAAACGCGCTGCTACAAATCAGGAAATCACCGGAATCGAGAAAGCAAAAATAAGAAAACGAGAATCGAAAATACGACACACGATTTACGTGGTTCACTAGCACGATTTGTGTTAGCTAGTCAACGGGCGAGAGAGCCAGTTTCACTATATCGAGGAGATTACAGATTGCAAAGGAGATGAGAAGTATTTATACTTCTCCATGTGGGTCTAAACCTAATCCAATATGGCAAAGGAAACGGTTACAGACCAGGCCCAGAGACCGAACCCAAATAACATTGAGCTCATACACCGCGGGCCGCACCCGCACCGGGGCTTTGCCCCTGGACCCCACTCACTGACCGGGCAGCGAAACCTCCGACTATTCCAGTCGTAGCAGCTGATAGTCTGATTCAAGTCACATCAACAGTCTGAATCATATCATATCAAATCCACGTTTGGATAAGATCATACCGAACAAAATACGATGTGATCTGGTCTTTGTACCTTTGTATTTTATAAATATTTAAGAAAAGAGATCGAATTGATTTTTGGACTAGATAAAATCAGACTGAATACAATGATAATTTGATCCTTAATCCTAAGATTTCGTTTATTGTTGGACGAGGCTGCCGTCCTATCAGTTTGATCTTGTTCGAACCGAATAGTTGCACTCTGACCCTATCACTCTTCACTTTCGAATTCCGATGACTCTGGCTTCTACATGGGCTAACGATTTGTAAGTAACTGATTGGAACAACAGTATACGAGCCCAAGAGAAAGCCCATTCCATTAGAACCCCCCCCCCCCCCCCGAATTTTATTCCTTCCTTGCCACCAACACCAAGGAGGAAAGTGATGGCGAATCACGACGATGACGGGATCTAGCAATCTCGATAAACCGCACATCCCGTACCGCCGCGCTTCTCAACTGGCGCCTCCTTCAAGAAGGCCCCGACACTGTGGAGGAGCTCTTCGAGCGGCACACGGCGGCGAAGATGCAGAACCAGTCAATCCTCGACGAGGAGGAGGAAGAGCTCCAGAACCGGCGGCGGCTCACCAGAACGTGGTGGGAGGCGCTGCACCTGTACATGGATATCCTAAGAGCCACGCGGTTTTCTCGTGGCCGGACTCCCGCGGGGTACCTTGGAGGGATGTCCTGAGAGAAAACGCGAGGATGGAGTTCGAGGAGGCTCGGTTCGAGAAGGATCCCGAGATCGTGACGCGCCTGCTAATCAATGGCCGGGATGTCGTGGAGTCAGCTCTGGAGAAGCTCGCCGACAAGCAGCGGCGGGAAATTGAGAAGGAGCGCGGCGGCGGTGGAGATGGCGGTGGTGGATTCGATAAGTTATGAATTGGTTCGGATCTCCGGTAAATTAGAGAGTTTCACTGTCTTTTAGGTGTAAAATTTGTTGTATTATTTTTCCCTCTTTGGCATATCTCTTTGTAAACTACACACAGGAATGTGTTTTATCGAGATAGACAGTGACTTTCTCAATGGGTTCTAAAGCAACACCCAAAGAGCTTCATGCACTGCAGAATTACTAACTTGATTTGCCTGTTTGGATATTGATATGATCCCAAATTTCCAACCATTCACTTCACAATTACTTGACAAAGAAGCTATCAAAGTTGGGAAGAGAAGCTATCGAGATAAACAGTGACTTTCTCAATGGGTTCTAAAGCAACACCCAAAGAGCTTCAAGCACTGCAGAATTACTAACTTGATTTGCTTGTTTGGATATTGATATGATCCCAAATTGCCAACCATTCACTTCACAATTACTTGAAAAAGAAGCTATCAAAGTTGGGAAGAAGAAAGGCAGAATTTGGCTAAGTCAAAATCCGTGTTCAGGGTACATACTTTGGAGGCATGGTTCTCTCAATTTGCTTGGTAAATATTCAAGTTTAAGGGTTTTTTTTGAAGATCAAGTTTCCATCTTTCCAATGGTATGCGTTTTAGATCCAGAAGATGCCATTAAGGTTGTTTTCCAAGCCCTCAAAGTTGCTACCTCAAAACTGGAAAACTGCCAAAAAATGGTTAAGTCTGGAAACTGTTTTGTGAAGCCTACTTTGGAGCTTAATTCGAGGAGTATGGATATGATTCAAGTCCAAAGGCTTACACAACATGAAACTAGGTATGTTTGTGAACATAGGGAAGTAATTGGATGACGAATTGAAGTTCGGGAAGGCCTCGAACAAATGGCGTGAAGTTAGTACAAAAGCTGCTTTTGGACAGTTTGTTGGCAGCTTACTTGTGCTTCAAGAAATGGAGTTTAAACCCGAATTTTGTGTCCTTTTTAGTGTATAATTTTACCTTAATTGTTTTCTAGTTCTATTAGGATTGTATTAGGTTTTATTTGTCTTTAAATACCCTTCTATTTTCGTTGTAAAATTCAGACTTTGTTGAATAGAAATCGAAACCGTTTGGTTTGTGCAAGTTGCGACTTGTTTTGGGTTTGGTGGATTCCAAACTTGATGAGATCTTGTATCGATTGAATAGTCACTTCAATCGTGGTCGGGCATCTACCTTTTAATCCAATTGAGCATTCCCCAGGTGTGGAATCGTCCTTTTGGTTCCGTTTTATCCAAGTTCGTATTAAGAACGCTTCGTTCTTGATTCGAGCTCAATCGATTCTTTGATTGAGTCGTTTGCTGCGTTATTTTGATAACATACACCCCCACAGGGGCGTATTAGATATGATATTGGTTGCGTCGGATTTTCAATATCAATGGTAGAATTGGTGGATTGTTCATTCTTCACTGCACAATAGGATAATCCTGTGGTCTTGATTTACAGTAATTGAAAGAACTTGTGTACACGGTTGCAGAGGATTTTGGGTCTCTACCATTTTAGTTTGATACGCTCCAGAGTTTGTGTGCCAAAGATTTTGGTAAGAATGGTTACAGGGCGATTCAGTTGGCATTTGTTCTGTGAGCTCCAGAGCCAGAATACTAATGGCTTTTGGTAATCTGGCTAGCCAATTGCAAGCTTTGCTTGTATGTCAGAAGTGTAAAAGAGTGGTTACCATTTAGAAAGGTATAATTACCAGGGATAACTGTAACTACTTGTTTGCTACTTGCAATTTTACATAGATCTCTCTTGAGGATTTCAGTTGAAGAAAAGCAATGCTTATATATCACTAGTGCAGTTTCAGCAGCAACAACAGCAACTTGTTCCAACATTAGCACAATGCAGGTACAATGTCAGTTTGCAAGAGTCAAGTCTCACCTCTTTTCCCCTCGGTTATGAATTGCCAATTCAAAAGAGAAAACTGAGAGTAATATACACACTTACATTCCTAACCCTTATTGGATATGATCAGAGTCAGACAGTTTCTTTTTATAAATACAGCACCTCCCCTCCTTCTTCGCCACTACCCAGCAATTCACTCTCGTTCGATCTGTTTTTCTTCTTTGGGATCTGATTATCAGAGAGCTTAAGAGTGAATTTTTTTCTTTGAGAAGGATAGGACTGAAGGTTCTCATGAAGAAAAGAAGCAGTGAAGCTGGCTTTGCACTCACATTGATGAAAGGTTGAAGATTATAAGTCTATCGGTGGAATCGAACCTGCGTCAAAGAGAGAAGTGAGACACTGGCCGTTTCTTTCTTGACCAATAATACGGGACCATGTGTCCATCTGTAATTACTACTCTTTCAAATTTCGTGTACATTGTTTTACCATTTGGATTAACATATTATAAAAAGACTACAATGGATCAGTTTGCTCATTGCGATTTCCTCATCATTTTGAATTTTTTATCACATTCTTCTTCCTTCTTCCTCTCTTGTAGTTGCTAAACCCTAGCAGAAACTACTACTTGTATGGTATAAGGGTGGTTCTGAACCGCATTTCACTTCAATGATGACGTTGACACCAACACTTCATGCATAGGGGATTGGTGTATCTAAGGCCATTCCTTTTTGGACTTACAACAACATCTCCTGCTTTGGACCTCAGGTAGTGAATCAACAACAACAATAAGATGGTAATCACTTAATGGTTGGAAATCTGTACTATATAAACCCTAGTTAGAATCTGGGTTAGTCGATTGTGTTTGAGGTGTTGGATGGGTCGAACTACCAAATATGGCAACAAGTAGTACATGTAATTTTGAAAACTAAGCATAAGTTGAGTTTTATAGATGTTTCCTCACCTGCTCCAGATCGTCTTCGTGTTAATTTCCTATGTGGGATGCTTCTAATACTTTGGTTCACTGTTGGATTCTCAATTTTGTGCACAAAGATATCAGTAGATGTGTTAAGGTATGATGTTGCAAAAGATGTGTGTGGTGAACTCAAACGCAAATTTTGGACATCCAATGCCCTGATGAAATGAGCTAATCTGCAAGGTGAAATTAACAGATGCAAGAAGGGTAATCTGAGTGCTACTCAATATAACATTGCCTTACAAGCTTTATAAGAAGAATATCAACAACATGCTCCACTTATTGATTGAAATTGTGTTATACTTCATCTACACCTTGTGCAACTGTGAAATCATTCAGAAAACGATTAGACACTGAGTATCTAATCAAGTTCCTTCGTGGACTTCGTCCAAAGTATTATATTGTTAATACTCAACTACTAGCAGTGTTGGAGTGTGTCAGAAACTGTGTCACAAGGTGGAGATTCTAGCTCATCATCTAGCAGTGTAGGATCTGTTAGTTTTATAACTAATGAGCTTACCAAATTGAAGTTTTTCTTCAACAATATGATGGTATGACTGCTTATCCACCACTATCACCTTCCATCAAGCATGCAATCTACTCTATCTCACAACAATTGCCTCCATTCCCCAACTGTGTTAGTATATATGTCCTTAACTCTTATATTAAGCAAATCTCAATGTCCTTATCACAACACTGGATTCTTGATAAACAACAATTCCCAGTTCCCACTAACTCAAATGACCCTAAAGGGATAGACAAGGATGATCGAATCAACCTACATTGAATGCCACAAAATCTGAACTGCAACTGTATGAATCTGAGATTAATTCCATAAGCCAAAAAAGGGGGCGACTAGCATTCCGATATGAACTTAGCCCCAAAACTTAATGGTGACAGGAAATTGGTAGTACAATATGCAAAATAGAAGCCTAGAGAAACTTAACCCCACAATTTTCTTCACAAACTATTAGCTATTAGCTAGCCTCTCAAAATTTAAATTACGGTCTATGAGCGCTAGTTCATCAATTTGCGTTTACCTATGTTATATAACTTGTACAACAGTCTTAATATAACACATCATATTCATCAAAAAAAAATATATATAACACATCATTCTCTAAATCACTTATGAAAATATTATTATTTCTTATTGTATCCATGTAGACAACTATGCTCTTGGCATGGAGGCCCTACCCAAACTCAAGTAGACCCATTGATAATGGGTTCGGTATGAGTGAAGTGCACATGGGTTTGGGGGTTTGTAGATGGGTTTGGGTAAGGTATGGATATTGCTTCCATAATTTAAATGGGTATGGGTTGGATATGGATATCCATTTACTTGAGGGTGTTTTAACTACACATGCAAAAAATTGGACCTATTTGTAAAACTTGAAAAAATTAGGTACCAAAATGTAAGACCAAAAAAATTTAGGTACCAAAACATAATTTTCCATCAATATTTTGAGGACTTATATGCAAAAAAATTTAAATTTAGGTACTAAATATGCATATCTATTAAGTTTAGGTTTCAAACTGTAATTTGTATTTGGGCATGGGTACAAATCCATTTGTTATAAACCCAACCCAACCCAAAGTAAATGGGTATGGGTACAAACCCATCAAACTCTACCCATATCTATCTATTTGGATTTCATACCAAACCCAACCCAGTTGGATAGTAAAAAAACTCATGGGTATGGGCAAATTGCCATCCCTAGGCCCAACCTTAGTTGCTATCAAGGCAAGGCAGAGGAAACTGGAAGCTGAGGTGATTGTTAGAGAAACAACTTTGTAATGGTGCCGTCCCTATATGTAGCTTGGACTAAGGGGTGGGCATACGGTTCGTTAAAATCGAACCGAAACTGAGTTAATGTTATTCGGTTCGGAATTTGAAAGGGAAAATGGCATATTTCGGAAACCATGGTCCTTCGACCAGACCGAATTTTTGAATTCCAAACCGAGTAACCGAATTACTATAATTGCAAGCTCCAAATGATGTATATTTATGTTTGTACTTATTATGAGACTTAAATATTTGAATCATGTTAATGTTTAATGACTTATGTGTTGAAATGTTTGATTTTATCATTGATGATGCATATAATTTCATATTTATTATTTACATTAGGAGTGAAAAATCATTTAAAAGAGAGAATATACAAGCTAACCTCAAAAATTCAGTTTTGTATGAAAAACCAAACTGAATTATAATTCTGTTTGAACCGACCTAACTATAATTCGGTTTGATGTTGGATGGAATTTGGGGATCCGGTATGCATTATTTCGGTTTGGTTTGAACCGAACCGACCGAATGCCCACCCCTACTTGGACTGCTTGAAGAAATAAAACTCACTGATGTTATGCGAGTGATAGGAGGCATAGAAGAAAATTTATTGGATGATTATGCCGATTTGTAAATTTGATTTGTTGATTAAGATTTTGAGATTTATCTTTGTATACGCCCCATCCAATCCAATATTCCCAGGCTAGTTGCTACTGAGGAGGGGAAAATTCATGCAATGAAAAAGCATAGAACATATCTTATTAACTATAAAAAAAAAAATTAATATTGCACGTGCAAAAAAGGTCAAACTAACTGTACCCCTAACTTTTCCCTTTACCTAAAGCTTAACTACCCTCCTAGCATTGACATCGAGGCCAAACTAGTACCAGACCTCTAACGGTCTAACCCCACATTTGTGGTTGGCAACACCCACTTCACCGAGTTGACAGTCCAGTTGAATGTCCCGTTAATGCTTTTGGTGAGCACAAACATAAAGCCCAACATCTTCTATGCCAATACAAACTTTCACACTTACATAATATTTTGATATAGATCTTCTTATATGCACCCTATCTCTCAGAGCATCCACATCAATGGTATTTGCTCAATTGCAAATCCTACATGGCACTCAATATGCAATTGCAAAGGATATTGCACTAATGCAGTGGGCAATTGCAAATATGCAAGCTTGCATTAAATGAAATTTAAAATGCAAGCCATATAGGAAAAATAAAAACATAAATTTTTTTTCTCTCCCTTGATTTATTTATTTTATAATTATAAAGTCATTTAAACTCTCATATATGCAATTGCACGTGAATTGCATTGATGTAGGAGCAATGAAATAAAAGTAAGTTGGATTGCATAAAGTTTAAAATGAAAATATAAAAATAATATGAAATTAGTTTTGCAATTTCATTGATGTGGATGCCCTAACAATTAACAACAACGAGTTCTCTTTCCACAATTCATGGAACCTACCAAGGTACATGACAAACACGAAAACCATTTCTATGTCAACTCCCAGCTTCCGATTTTCTCATCCCTGGAACGAGTTATCTTTCCACAATTCATGGAACCTACCAAGGTACATGACAAACACTACAACCATTTCTTTGTCAACTCCCAGCTTCCGATTTTCTCATCCCTGGTTTGATGCCTAGGATAGACCTCCACGCCATGATGTATGGACATGTACACGACATATATTTTAATGTTTTGGACTAATTTCTAACCTTTTTCTTTTTAGTTTGGAATAAGCGTTTTGGTTGTTCCTTGTAGGGTTTGGAGAAGGGACATATATAAATATTCTCAACCCTCTGTGATACGTACTCATTTCAATATAGTAAAAATTATCTCTCGTGTCCGTAAACTAGCTAACACATATACTAGTGAACCACGTAAATATGTGTATTCTTTATTTACTTTCATTATTAATTGTCCATTCCGTTATAACTAATTCTTTTCTGTGTAAGAAACTTAAAATAGAAGCTAGAAAATTCATAAAGATTTGATTAGTTTTCCTACTTAAAATCAAGAGTCAAGAAGGTGTTAGGCGCTAGGCAGACATTGGGTCATTGCCTAGTTCCTAGCACGCTTAAGCGGTGTCCAGGCGACGCATAGGCTGTTTAGCAAACGTAATGGTTTTTAGTAGAAGTAACAATTCTATAGTAAGAGATAGAAATAACTCTGCTTGAAGCTGGTTATTTCTTGGAATCGTTAATGAGAAAGAGACATCAGATAATGGGTCTTTTGTTTTACCCTAAAGGGACCTTTTATGTGAATCGACTTACTTAAACTATCTTACCCAAATGGGTAAGAATGGGGTGCACCACAATACCCTATCGACATATGTATTAAGGGCAGATTCAATCAGGGCGAAAGAAGCCATGCATAGAAAGATTTGACGCCGCTCACTAAATTCTGTGGTTAATGATATTTTACTCTTTCCAGGTAACCGGCCTCAAAAAATTTACTGGTAGAGAGAAATATGGAAGGGCGACGGGGCTGAATATGGCGATACCCCATCAATCGGTACTAGTTATTGTCATTTGGATTCCTTGGCTTGATTTCTCCGACGATAAATGCGAAAAGAAAGAAGGATCCTCCTGGGTTAATCAATACAAAAATTTGGAAGGGCAAGAAGTGGCTGGGAGGTAGGAAGTCGACTCTTTCTTCTCAGTAGATATTTCGTAGTGGAATGTAGGATCTCCGACGAGCTTCTTGACTTGAAATACTATTTCCTTTGCACAAGAGCAGCAGATCTTAAAAAAATAATGTCAATATAGGACTAAACACGAATAGGCTCCTCTACACGGGAAAAGAAGCTCATGAGAAAGGAATAGGTTTAGGAACGAAGTTGTTCAACTGAAAGAAGAGGGAACACCTCGCAGTACAAAAACCAAACTTGACATTGGGGCGGTAGTGCACAAACTCAATAGTCAAACATTCCAATTTTCAATCCAATGACTAGCTTTTCGGCAAACTCTCTTGAACTCCATCTTACTGTCTACAATGTCGTACTGTTGGAGATCTTTCTTCATTCGTAGATGTCTACGGATATAGTGATTCGGAGGTTACAACATTATTCATATGTTCTAACACTCCAGCGGGATACATTCCCCAGGAGTCTTTGTTTTCTCTTTCTGGTTACATTGGAATTGACTATTTCATTTAGTAGCGGAGGAAGAAGCAACTAAGATTGCCGACGAGACGCCGAGATGTTGGGATATGTCGTAATGTGGAGATATGCATGGACGAGATTTAGATTTGAAATGAAAAACTCAACAGGTTTTGTTCCAAAAAGTAAGAAAAACTTCTTTATTTTAGTTCTTATTAGGTTAGACAAGAAGGCGAGAATAACCTGAATCCGAATTTGAAGCTATAGCTCTTGCTAAAGCAAAGTTATTTTTAGGTTCATAGGGGACGATTTTCATGCCTCCTACTTTAGTTTAATTTCAAATGTTAATAACTTAGCTAACCCTAAACATTAAGCAAAATAAGCCATGACCAAGAAATGCAATTCCAAATCGAGGAATGAGTGAAGGAATAAGGATGCGATGAATATAGGGCAGCTAGAAATGACGTCATTTTGGGAAGATTCGTTACGATTCTTGTAATTCTGATCTATTAGTGTAATTAGTGCTACTCGCTTAGATTAATCACATCTCACGTCTATTAATCATACCTATTTTTATCTAAGCATTGCTTAGTAGATATGAACGCCGAATTATCTGTCTAGTACCTATACAAGGGGTTGTGTCACTGCCCAATACCTAAACTCACCTAGACGTACTTGAAATTACACTTTCTCCAACCCTGCTTAAAATAATTAATAAAACAAGGGCGAATCAGGGGTAAATTCCCAAAATAATGTTTTTTTTATTTACCACCAATATGGTGGTTTTAAAGATAGTTACACAGATATTGTGTTTTTGTGGGCAAAAAGAAGCGGGGTCGCAGGAGACTCAAGTTTACGCGTTTAAAAGGCGGACCCGCAGCAGACTCGTGCGAGTTCGCGTAAAACAAGAGGACCCGCAGCAGACTCGTGTGAGTTCGCGTGACCCACCATTATCTCTTATCTTCTTCTCCACCCCAGCCACTCATCCGCAGCGACGCCCCAACCCTCCTCCTCTCATCGCCAGAAGAACCCACTCGCCCAAACCCCCATCGCCGACCGCCACAAAACCCGCCAATCCCACGCGTGTTCTCCCCGGACTCCTGCTAAAACGGCCGAGAGTCACGCGGAAGCGCAGAAGTCAAGAGGCGGTCGAACAAAACCAGATCTGTGTTTTTCGGGTTTTGATGTCGCACTCCGACGAAGAACAGGCGGCCGCCGGAGGAAGAGGCCGTGGAAGATGACAGCAGGCACGCGGCCGGTACAGAGGTGAGCGATTCACCGGTAGGAATGCCGCCGCCGGCGACCGGAAACTCGCCGCCGATGGGTTTTCCTTTTCTGCTTCTAATTTTTTTTTTCAGTTCCTAGGATTCTTGACAGGCATTCCACGAGACGACCACCTGCGACGATAGATACAGCTCCGGTCGATTCAGTATTCCTTTGGGCACATGGTCAACATCGTACCGACTCAATTTGGCAAAACGAGGTAAGTATTTTATTTCATTAAAGTTCATTAGCTAGTTAGATTAGAATTTTGTGAAATTAGTATTAGTTTGATTAGATTGATTTTACTAGGTAAATTGAAATATTATAATTGCATGTAAAATTTTGTGAAATTAGTATTAGTTTTGATTATATACCTTTTTCTAAATTTGATAGATTTTACTAGGTCAACTGAAATATTAAAATTGCATGTGAAATTTTGTGAAATTATTAATTGTTTTAGAATTTTGTGATTTTCAGTATTAGTTTGATTAGATATATTTTACTAAATTAGATTGAGTTTACTAGGTAAATTGAAATATTATAATTGCATGTGAAATTTTGTGAAATTAGTATTAGTTTTCATTACATATATTTTAGTAAATTAGATAGATTTTACAATATGTTCTGAAAATAGAATTACGCCATGAAATTGAATTAATATAAGTTTTGTGCACTATAGGCTGGTGATCGTGTTTACCAGACTCGAGCTACGACCAAATTGGTCACGTACCATCCACGTTATGAGCCGTATCTCCAGGATGCCGGTTTGTTTAGCGTTCAGCAGTTGGTCCCTATGACTGGTTGTATAGATGCATCTTTGATCACCGCTCTAGTAGAGCGTTGGCGTCCTGAGAAATCGACCTTTCACATGCCGGTCGGTGAGGTTACGATCACTCTTGAGGACATTGCCACACTGAGCGGTCTACCAATTGACGGTGAGGCCGTCATAGTAGACGTACCAGATCGTGAGTGGTCGGAGACATGTACCAGACTCTTAGGACATGCTCCTAACGATATTAGCGGGGGTGTCGTTAGGATTAGTTGGCTTAGGGAGCATTTCAACAATCTGCCGCCAAATGCATCATCAGAGATTACAGGGCAGTTTGCACGAGCATATGCCCTATCTTTGATGGGGTTTATGTTGTTCCCCGATCGGACTGAAGCTACAGTTCATCTGCAGTATCTGCTCCTGTTGGAGAATTGGCGGACCGTTGGAGGCTAGGCTTGGGGAGCAGCTGTTCTAGCCTACCTGTACCGTGAGATGGGTAGGTCGGTTCTTCATATGACGCAGTCCTCTTCCACTAGAGGTGACCTTGGTGGCTGGGTCGCCTTGCTGCAGCTCTGTGCGTGGGAGCGATTCCCATTGATAGCACCATGACATACAAAGACAGATGAACCTATTACAGCGGACGCATCTCCACGTGGTGCTCGATGGCTTCCGACTATGACCCGTCAGCATGGTGACCAGCTCTTCAGTTATAAGTTGTTTTTTGACGAGCTGGAGACGATCGTGGTAAGTAATAACATTCCATTCAAGAATAGTTTTTGGTTCACATTAGTTTGTTTTAGACTAATGAGTAATAATGCGCCCACCTTTTTTTGTAGTGGCTGCCTTACTGGGAGAGAGACCTGCAGTTTAGGGGTTCTGTTCTCCAGTCAGATACCTTCCGAGCAGTGGTTCCACTGATCTGCTTTTCAGTAGTGATGTGGCACCATCCAGATCGCGTATTCCGACAGTTTGGCATGATGCAGAACGAGCCTCATCCTCCAGCTCCTGAGGCTGAGATTAGGTGGTTTCTTCACTAGACAGTTCGTGGGCCATCGCGAGGGCAGCGGTTGATGCACACCTCTAGAGAGTCGATTGATTTATGGAGTCGTCGACATGATTATATAGCGACAATGCCATATACTTAGGACCTCTAGCCTACCACTCGGAGCATCTCGAGTGGTATCGAGATGTTACTAGACGTGCAGTCACACGGAGAGCACCAGGAATTAACGCAGCGGTTAATTATTTATTATTTCAAAATAAAACTTTAGTTGATTGAAATTCTTAGTTGTGTGGAATATTTGATATATTAAATAAATTTGCAGTACGACACCTTTGAGTACGCTGAGCTGAGATTGCGGGAAGGAGAGTTGTGCATAGACGATAGGATGGAGTTGGCCGACATGATGGCGGCCGGGGTTGCTGCTCTAGGTTTGGATTCTCGCCGACATCATGATGTGACGGTACCGGTGCAGGCACAGTCATCTGATGCTAGCGTTGACCCATGGCCAGATCGTACGGCTGAGAGACATGAGTGGGACGTGCGAGGACCACAGCTCACACAGGAGCCCAGAAGCATAGACAGCGACGTGAGCACCGCGACGTACCTCACCCAGTCCGGATTTCAGATCGTCAGCGAACACGTCCTGTCCGGCTGATAGACCGATAATTACACATGTTTTCACCCCTATTCTGAAGCCGTTTGAGATGTTGATTCTCGTGTTTTAAGCCGATTTCACGCTAGGTTGTGTGTTTATGTCATATTTCAGGACCCGGCGTTGGAATCGAGGTGGAGAAGCGAGTTCTGGGTCGAAAGGAGCAAAGTTGGGACGAAGTGGGCTGCAGGAGGAAAATACCCGGTTAGGTGGCCAAATACCCGACCGGGTATTTATCACTTTGGGCGTCTGTGAGAAACAGAAGGGGGCCCGGGCAGAAGGCTTAAATCCCCGGTCGGGGATTATTGGAGCAGACCGGGGATTTTTCCCCTGACCAAAACTCACGTTTTAACAATACCCGGTCGAGACCCAAAATACCCGACCGGGTATTTCGACCGGGTATCGCGACAGGCAGCAGATTTAAGGGAAAGGAAGGCCAAAATTCAGGGGTTCCGAGTTTTAGGGAGAGAGAGCGATTCCTAGAGAGAGAAAGTGACGAACCAGAGTTCCCAAGTGCCATAGCTTGATCTTCATCACCATTGGAGCCTGGCTTGAGCTTGAAGAAGTGCCGATTAACGTCCAGAAGCAGAAATCCATCTTCACAGTATGATTTCCGTGTCTGAATCTTTGTTTGCTTCTCTCTCCATGGAGTAGTTTCCCCATTCATCTGGGTATGGAGAACCCTAGATTTGTATGCTAGGTCTGATCGTATGAACCCAAGTACAGAGTTTATGAATTGATTATATTCGATTGAGGTTTGAATGATTGAATGACTTGAATCCTGATCAAATTCCTGTTGTTTCTGCTTTGACCTAGAATGAGAATATCTGCCTAGGTTGATAGAGTATCCTTAATTGAAGGTAGTGAATTGGTGACTTTAGTCGTGGAGCCAATTCGCTATTCTGTACCGAAGTCAATTCGATAGTGGAGGTTTGGTTCGTTAGGGCCTCAATCTGTTTACTCCGGTGGAGGTTAGTCGCCCGCTAGAGACTCAGATTGAAAGGGTCTGAAGACCTTTAGTCGAGACTTCAGACTGTTTAAGAACCTTCCGCAGTATAATTTTCATGAAAACTGAACTAGGTAAATTGCAATCCGGCTTAACTGCAGTCTAGGGGGAACCATATCCGGGTGACCTCTCTTGACTTGAAAACAACCGTTTAACTTGCTTTGCGTTTTTGTTTGTTTGAACCTGCACTAAAAGTTCACTGCTAGATAACAAGAATTCACCGAGTAGTCATCAAATCTAGGACCCGGGTTGACATTAAAACCCAAACCCGCTATACTACGCTTTAGGAAGTGGTTATACTTGGCCATTTTCTAGAGTGACGGTAGGAGTGAGTCAAGTTTTTGGCGCCGTTGCCGGGGATGGCTAGGTTGTTGAAGAAAAGTGATTTCTGTTACTTTAGCATTGAGTGTTTGTTCTTTCCCACTTGTGCCTTCACGGGTTTGCATTGCTTGATTGTGTGCAGACAGTGCATGACCCGTAGCCAGACGGGAGGTTTACAGCCGTTGGATCCAGAGATTGAACGCACCTGCCACCAACTTCAGAGACAACAGCGAGTTAGACTGGCTACAGTGGAGCGCATAGACGGCCATTTGAGCAGCGAGTTCGAGGATGAGTACGAGATGGAAGGTGACCACAACCCACCTCCGGGGAATCAGCTCTTGGGGAACGACCCCAGGGTCCAAGCACCGCCGCAGGGTCCCACCTTGGAGTACTACTACACTCCACGGATTGCTGACATCCGCCCGGTCATCCTCTATCCGCCCATTCCAGCAAACAACTTCGAGATCAAGCCATGCTGGATTCAACTCATTACATCCTCTATCCAGTTCCATGGCTTGAAGGATGAGGAGGCCCGGGTGCATCTTTCCCGTTTTCTGCAGCTGACGAACGGGTTCAAGATGAACGGTGTCCCGGATGACGCAATCCGCCTTCACCTCTTCCCCCATTCTCTGGCGGGGAATGCTAAGAGGTGGTTGGAGACCCAGCCCCCATTGTCCATCACTTCTTGGGACAATTTGGCAGACAAGTTTGTGCACAGGTATCATCCGGCATCGAAGACCACAGAGATTCAGCAGGAGATCACTCACTTCCGCCAAGAGCCAAACGAGTCACTTCGTGATGCATGGGAGCGGTACATGGGATATTTCTGGCAGTGTCCCCATCATGGCTTCAGTGATGCATTCACAGTGGGGAACTTCTACAGTGCCCTCACCCCAGACAGCCAGAGAGTGATTGAGTCTCTATGCCCAGGAGGGGATGTTCTCACTAAGACTCCACCCGAGCTGAACCAGATGATTAGTACCTTGGCTGCCCGAGATCATTCCTGGGGGCAGAACAGCAAAGGCAGAAATTCCCGGGACCGGGGTGTGCACGCTATGGAGGCCAGGTCTGGGTTAGAGCAGCAGGTGGCTGAGTTGGTGCAGACATTGAAGCAGCCCAACAGTCTCCTTCCGGGCCGAGGCACAGCTACGCCTCCAGTAGCTCAGTGTCAGTGGTGCGAGAGCCCGAATCACCTGGTGGAGGACTGTCAGTCTATGAGGGAGTCCTCTACTCCCCAAGAGCAGGTGGACTTCATCGCCAATGCTCGGCGCCTGGACCCATATAGCAATACCTACAATGAGGGATGGCGCCCGCATCCCAACTTCGCCTGGAGCAGCAAACCACTAAACCACCTGGTTTCCCAGCACCAGTGGGTGGTTTTCAGCAGAGGCAGCCCTTCCAGGCTAGGCAGGGGCCACCACCACAGCAGCATCCCTACCAGCCTAGGCAAGGGCAGCCATTCTAGCATCCCCAGCGCCAGTATGCCCAGCCTCCAGCAGCCGCAGCTCCAGATAATCAAATGGCTGATCTGAAGAATATTTTGCAGGCATTCATGGCTACCAGCCAGGCAAATTTCACGAGGATGGATCAGAACATAGCCTCACTGGAGGCAGGCCAGAGAAACCAAGGTGCCATTCTGCAAGATCTACAGAATCAGATTGGGAGCTTAGCTCGCCAGAACACTACCAGGGCACCGGGGACTCTGCCTGCCACCACTGTTCCAAACCCTCGTGACCCTCTCCAGCAGCTGGACGCCATCACCACCAGGAGTGGCAAGACCATATCTGCTGCTCCTGCCCAGCCAGGGCGAGACGACCCACTACCTGCTTCAACACCTCCAGCTGATACTGTAGAAGTGGGGGAAGGCAACGAAGCACCTGCTCCCAAGCCGCAGCCTGTGGTTAAGGAGCATATACCCCAGTTGCCCTTCCCCACTCGACTTCATAAAGACAAGCTGGAGATAGAGTTTGCCAAGTTCATGGCAATGTTGAAGTAGGTCAACATCAGCATGCCGTTCGTGGAGGCACTGTCGAAGATGCCCAAGTATGCCAAGTTCATGAAAGACCTCCTCACCAACAAGAAGAAACTTGGGGATCTCTCGACAGTGATGCTCAGCGAGGAGTGTTCTGTTATCCTTCAGAAAAGCTGCCCGAGAAGCGCAAAGACCCAGGGAGTTTCACTATCCCTCTTGTCATTGGCAGCATGCATGTAGGAAAGTCCTTGGCGGACCTAGGAGCTAGTATAAATGTCATGCCTTACAAATTGTTTAAGAAGCTAGACCTAGGTGAACCTAGAGCTACTAGGATGAGCATTCAGTTAGCTGATCGTTCCATCGTGCATCCTAGGGGTATCATTGAGGATCTGCTTGTTAATGTTGGTGCATTCACATATCCTGTTGACTTTGTTATTTTGGATATAAATGAAGATGTGGATGTGCCTTTGATTTTGGGTAGACCATTTCTCGCCACCGC